GTGGGGCAGCAGCCTTTGGGATCACAATTTGCTTTCATCCTAAATGCTGTGTGACCACCGCTTCGATTTTATGTTTAAAATACAGAAAAGCAGCCAGTTCCAATGTAGAACATATTAAATCAAAAGCTGTGAACCTTTTCCAGATCGTGACTGAAAACATATCCTCCTAAGCCCTCAAAATTTATTCTTCCATTCCCATTCGCTGTGAGTTAAAAGCGCTGGTCATCATTCTTCTGATCTCACTAGGAGACCATTCCTCTGAGAGTGGAGGAGTTCATCGTGTGGATAAGAAAAGTGTGCGTGGAGGAGACGGATGCAGAGGGGAGACAAAGGGCATTGACTGTTGGACGAGGTGGGGTGGATATGAGAAAAATCTCTGGAATGCTGAGAAAGCATGGCTCCCCGAGCTCGCAGATGGAGAAAAGGGAAACGAGAGCATTTGTAAATCAACTGATACGCAGAGTTCATCAGAAAACCTTGCAGTCCATCCAACAGAAGACAAATTATAAATTTGTGGCTTTACAAGCTACCGTCTTTCATGTCCATTTTCAAACAGTGCTAATCATCATCTAAAAACTCTGAACTTTCAGAAGCTACAGCTCGCTATCGCTTTGTCTCGCTGAGGCACTAAAAGCCTTATCTTCTGTCTCCCCATATGTTCTTCATGTTGTAATGACTTTTAACTTACAGTCTTCATTAAGATTCTTATCTCATACGCTCATCTAATGTAAGCCCTAGTAGTACAGACCAGATTGTTCTTCGTGTACCATTTAACTGAGGATTATTTACCCTTGTCTGGCTGTTTTTATCCTCTGTAACTGTGGAAATTCACTGTCCTTTCTTTTACAGCAATCAAGACGAAAACAAATAAAGAACTGACTGAAGTGACGCAGATTTAAACTTCGAAGTATAGTTTTCACTTTGATTTGTTTCCTTTTATCCAAGATGGTGAACGGTTTATAGTAGGGGTGCACCGATTGTGGTTTTCTGGTCGATCACCGATTTCTAAAAAGTCTGACCTGCCGATTCCGATTTTGTTTTATGAGCGACACTGTCAGGTGTTATGCACCTTCAATTTTCCAATATTATTTTATGGAAAAACATACCCTTGAACAATATCCTAGAAACAATACAAACTTGCTTAACTGGCCATGAGGTAGTGCTCTGAAATATAAATGAAGTTTAGGCAATTGTTGTTAAAATTTTGGATGGGACCGATCTGATCCGGTATCTGTATCAGCCTCCGATACCAGCATAATTTACGTATCGGATTCAGACCCAACCTGCAGCGATTTCCGATCCATGATGCATGTTGGCTTCAAACTATGGAATGGATTTCCTGAACGGCGGCGTGTCTCATGAGCCCAGAACCCCGCCTCACATTCAGGAAATCCATTTCATAGTTTGCAGCCAACTACAACGTGAGGACTGAGTTAGCATCACTGTGGCTAACGGCTAACCAACTTCTCATCTAAACATGTCCGCTGTGTGGAAGTATTTTACACAAGAAACACCACAAAGCAAGACAGCAACATGCAATGTCTGCAGAGCCATAGCGCCACATTAAACCGCGGTAAAGTTACTTTTACATTGGACATTCGAGCTCCGTGGCTTCAGCGGGGCGCTGCTCTTGCTCAACCCGAAACAGGCAACTCGACCCCGGGCAGCCGCGCCCAATCTGCCCCGCTAACTCTGCCCGTCTCTGAGGAGGGACAGACTGAGCGCGGCTGACCGAAATCAGACTCCTTGCTTCGGATTGAACAAGAAGAAGACATCACTGAAGCCACGGAGCTCAAATGTTTACAGAGAAGTTGTTGAACTTCATCATGATTCATGACCAACCACTGTCACTTGTAGAAAACGAAAGATTTCACAGCTTGATATTTGAAGCCAAGATATAGTTTACCCTCCAGGAGATGTTTATCAGTACAACTGTAGACAATCATAAAAAAAACATTTTCACATTTGAAAAATTCCAAGAAAATTATATATATATAAAAAAAAAACAGCGACATTATAAAGTGATGTAAAATACTAAAAACAGGAACATGTTTGTGTTGGTTTATGCCACGAACTTAGCAGGTGTTTGAAGCCATTTAACATTTTATTTTATTTTATTCATTCATTAATTTAAAAGAAACAAAATAAACAAAAAAAAATCAAAAAGAAAACAATGAATGAAAAGAGTGCAGAAAGAAGAAAAGAATTCTTATATCTGCCCCTTATTTAAAAAAAAAATAATAATAACTTTAAACAATCACTTAAATTAATCACTTTAATATTCACTTTAAAGCTAGGAATAAAAAAAAAACATGTTTTGTGTTAGCAGAATTTAATTATAACTTTAAAACTTATCCAAAATTAATAAAACTTACCTCAAGTTGCCTTTTTGGACATGCATGCATATATTTGTACAAATTGTACTTGAGAGGAGATTATTACAGCCTCATATAAAATCAATAATGATCATGATATCGGAACTGGATCGGCATCGGCCGATATCCAGATTTAGGGATCAGATCGGAAGCAAAAAAAATGTAGATCGGTGCATCCCTAGTTAAAATTTAAAAGTCTGTAAAATTGGTTTCTCATGCAAGTATTGGCCAATTTCCCAAAATTAAGGAAATCGGAGCCGATAAATCGGTCGGCCAATTTATCGGTGCAACCCTAGTTTATAGGTCTGCAACACTTGGAGATGATGGTAAAAAGCTAAAACTATTAAACATTTTACCATCAGTGAATGAATCTCCTACAGTCGTAGTTTGGGAGTATAACCTTGTCTAACAGACAAATCCATTGATATTCACCCTGAAGTGCAAACTTGCCTGTCCAGACTGAAAAATATCTAAACCAGCATCTCTGCCCACCCCCTAAATATTTCTGTTTCTGCCTGGGGTCATTTATCAAATAATGTTTGTGGAACTGTTTGGCATTTTGTAGATGAAGGAAGATCTTTGTTGTCACACATCCAAAGGAGGAACACTGTGCTTCTCAGTGAGACGCCGTCCAGGGAGCAGAGCAAATGTAAGACGTGTACAGACACGGACGGGGATAACTGCTGCCATCGCCACAGGATTTCATCAGCTAAACACACACCATGATGTGATGCTACTTGCAACAGACTGTAGACGCTGTGTGCCAAATTAATCAAAGCAACACGTAATACAGTATTTGACTGCTGGGATTTGTTTCTATTCTGACTACAGAAAAGTGAGCTTCAACATGTAGGGTCAAAAACTGACTTTCTGTCAGCTTGGTAAAAGGAAACATCGCAAACCCAACAAAGCTGATCTTCCATCTGAATATCAGTGAGTATCAGAGATACAGTTGGCTGCAGCGCAGGAATTATTTTATGTGTGTGCACTCGTGGGCTGCGAGTGTGAGCCTGTATGTTTGTAGGGGCAAAGCAGCATTGAGCTTATAAGGCCTGGAAAAAAAAAAAGGTTGGAGATCTGGTAAACAGAGACCACAGTTTATAAAAATGAAATCTGAGGTAAAAGAGGTGAGCTAACGCGAAGAGGGGGAAGTATTTTTGGACAAATGAGTGTCATGTTGAAGTCTCCCCGGGCAAGATACTGAACCCTTCATTGCCTTCAATGTGTGTCCCATCGGTAAGATGGTCACCATAACAAATTTTGCTGGGCGATTAATTGTCTCTGAAATTATTGCGATAAACAATAATATTGTTTGAAATTTGACAATAATTAGTAATTACAGAATAGAATAGAATAGAATAGAATAGAATAGAATAGAAACAGCCTTTATTGTCCCACAGATGAGAAATCCAAGTGTAACAGCAGCAACAGATAAAAAGATAAAAAAAGAATTCACACAAAAATTCCTAAATGTTAATAAACAATACAATATATAAATAAATAAGATAAACAATATCAATAATAATGTTCAATGTGTTGGAAATTACTGTCAAATTTAAGAAGAAATGTTTATTTGTTTTGCATGTAGTATCTTTTTCGACCACCAGATGGCAGTATAAGACCGTTTGAACCGAAGGACGGATAGTGAGGAAGCGAACAGCGTGTCTCCTTAAGAAAAATGGGAGGGAGGCCTCTTGACATGACATGGGCTCTCTCTTCGATTCTCAAAATGACGGACGCTCGGTGTGATTTGAGCTCTTTAGCATAGCATTTTTCACACAAAGCTTTTAATAAAAAATCAGTAAACAAGTTCTCAGCTTCTTTTTGCAGAGAAAAACTTTTTACAGGAAGGCACGGGTTTCAACCGTGAATTTTGGAAACAACAAGACGGAGGTTTTTTTCCCCGAGGTCGGCCTGTTAGCTTAGCTCGTAGCTTAGCTTCTCAGCTTAACTGCTTTTAACGATCCAAAAACGTGATTTTTGGATCGTTAAAAGGGATTTTAAAGAAAAAAGAGAAAGGGAGGGGTCAGTGAAGAGCACCGGAGTTGAGCCTTTTGTCGTCCAGTGTCTTCAGTAGAAAGAGAGAGATACGAAAGGATAAAGCCGATAAATGAAAATGAGGTTGATAATTTTCATTTATCGTGCGATTAATTGATTTATTGTTTATTGCGAAATGCCTACCCATCGGTGTATGAATGTGATAAAGCACTGATTGTTCTTTACAGATTCAGATTATTCTTTGTAGAGATCTAGTGGAGTGCTGTATGAACGGGTAAATGAGGCACAGATTGTGTTGTAAAGAGTTTTGAGTATCTTGATGAAATAGAAAGGTCCTATATAAGTACAGTCCATTTACCATTTGGTGTAAACGTGTAAGGACCGGCCGCTTGTGGTTTAGAATACTGTATACAACATGAGAAATTGGAGTAAGGTGAAAATATGTCACAGTTTGCAGACAACACTAAAGCAGGGGTCACTGCTTGTTGTTATCGCCAGAAAAATCCATGTTAATCAGCTAAACCTTCAAATAGAAGGTTTTATGCATATAATTAAGAGAATTACCAAGAAGTCACTGAACACAAACTCTGTGCAGTACTAAGCTGATTATAATAATGTGTTTCTTACCCTTGACACAGTGAGGGGCATGCTGAAGTCCTTTCCTCCCTGCAGCCTGAAGCCCCAAGGTGCTGGGCCACTGAGGGTGACAGTGTACATGTTCATAGCCTTGAGGAAGAAAAAGGAAATGTTCAAATTTAAAAGAAAACCAGGAAAAGGTTTGAAAAGCCATTCGTTGCTTCCTGCTTTGTCCAAGTATCTCCGCTGCTGATTGTGTGGCTTTGTTCCCAACACGAAAACACATTCCACCCCCACAAGACAGTAAAATGGCATTCATTGTGTTTCTAAGAGCACAAACTGTTGGGAAAGTTAAGAAAAAAAAACATGTTGTGTTGTCTATTTAAGTATTTCTTTGACTGGTTTAGGTTTAACCCTCATTTCCAGCAGGACAGTGAAAGCAGACCACTCCACCTTTGGTTAAATTGTCATGCAAATCTTTCCACAGAGCATTTATCAACGCATTTGAATGTCCCTCTGGCTTCAAGAAACTACACTGGCTTCTCAAAGCAGCTGGATGAAAATAGACAACTCGTAAATCCGTCAACATTTATACTTTTCCTAACGTTTGTATTATTTCACACAGTTGGTCCTCCTTTTCAAACATCCCACCAGCATGAAACAGTTCCTGCAGATTCTACTAATGATATTTAATGACAGGGCTCTTTATAAGGTCACCTGAAAGACCTCAGGCTGCTTTACGAGTCGAGCTATGTCTCTGGCTGTCACTGTGACCTGACCCCTGACCCCAAGCCCTCACCCCTCCTTCTCCTCCTCTTCCTCAACTGCACCAGGTGCCATTGTTCTTCACCTACCTTATCCTCGAGGGCCGGCTTGTAGCCCAAACCTGGGAGAAAGCTAGCAAGTCAGTGAGCTGGGGCAAGCGGTTTCTGCCTCGGCTGGCAAACTTTAACACCCCCTCCTCTTCTGATGCTGCTGCGTGTGACACAGGCAAGCCTTTAGCCTCTCCTCGATCCTCAGAGGCTATATAAGGAATGTAAAACTACACCAAACTATTTCAGCCCAACACCCACATGAGTCACAGGGGAGAGGAGAAGAGGAGGGGAGCAGCAGGAGGACGGCGAGGAGTAACATCAACTACATCGAATTCTGGCAAAGGCCCACAACGTTAAAGTCTGCGGACTTTTAGTTTTGTTGTTTGAACTGGAGACCCAGCAGGCGGCCCCGACTGACGCAAAGCCTCAGAGTTTAGATTCTTTCTAGACGCCAGACACGTCACAAACCAAACCAGCAATTATGTTTTGAACGTGTACGTCCTAAAATTACAGGACGAGCGTCTTGAAGGAATGCTTATCGCCCGCTGCTCTTCACGCCGGAGTTTCAAACTAAGGTCATCTCGTGTTGAGAAAGAGTTCTGGAACTTGCACAAAATTCTGCCTCATGCGAGACATCGAGCTTAGAGCACGTGTTGTGAATGACTGTCAGCTACTACCACATCAAAGTTTTTAGAACAACATCTGTTAAATCCACTGAGTTAGACCCTTTTAATGTCGATTAGCTGTGGCGGCCATCTTAAATTGGATTCCAAACGGTTATCATTCGTAGAGGGACATTTTTCATTCAAATGTGTCCAGTTACTTATGAGATATTTTGCTAACAGTCAGAAAAAAAAATACCTTCAGTTAATGCCTACGGTTTAAGCAAAGCTCTTGTGCAATGCGTAGCACTTGAACAATGTGAATAACTCTCCTCTGTTACACCAAATTCAAGGACAGAACCTATAAAGATGACTGAATTGTAGCCATTTCTTTGTCGGGTAAAATAAATAGTTCATGACAGCCATCTTGAATCAGGTTGGCTCCAAAGGTTAATCAGTCGTAGATGAACCTCCAGTGATTAATTGCTCTATAAAATGTGTCCAGATAAACCAACACACACAGACAGCCTGTTAGCAGTGGGACTGATCCCATTTAGTAAGCACTGAAACTGTGGTGTGGTCATAAATAACAACAACAACAAAATTGTTGGGATGCACAATATTATCGGTATAGTATCGGTATCGGAAGATATTAGCGATAATGATAAATATCGGACCATTCCATCAAAATAACTCACCGATATAAAAGGCTTCTGTTTTAAGTTAATTTTTTTATTTAAGGAACTGTCAAGTATATCTATTAATGAATGCACTACTACTTGTGCGCTTTTCACATGTCGCTTGTGAACAGGTTGAGTATAGATTTGTGAAAAATTACAAATTTGCACTTTTCAAGTGTTGTCATTGTGTTAGAGAGCGTAAATGTCATGAATAAATTTGACATAATCCAAGTTGAAGTGATACATCATTTTCAGACCAATCTGCATTTGGTAGCAGGCCAAACTAAAGACCATGCAGAATAATGTAGTATTTGAATTCCCCAGCAGGGAAACTTTGTAATCTCTGTAGGTCTAGAGAAAAAAATATTGGTATCGGCCAAATAAATTTAATATATTGGCAAATCGAATATCAGCCAAAAAGCCAATCTCATGCATCCCTACAGAGAACACCTTCAATATCACTGATTAAAGAAAATACTGTAACCTGATTATCAAACCAAGAAGAAATTCAAATGAAAACCACTTTATTTAACTGTAAGTGTAAGCTTGCACTTCTAGAAACAAATAAATAGGAGCTTTAATTACAATAATTGGTCTTTTTAAGTAGCAGCAACAGGTAACACTTGTCATAGCAGCACAATGCAAAATTATTATTACATGGTTTTTAACAGGTTATATATGAATTATTAACTTATAAATTAATGTCAACTTCTGAAGGGATGATGCCAAGCCATCCTCTTCTGTTGGACTTGATTAAATTACACACCCCTGTTAATTTACATTCATAATGTCTCATTGTGTTTACAGAAACTTGTGTTTTGTTGTTCTAGTTAAGGTCAATTATTCAAGAGGACACATGTGGAGTTAAGAGCTCATATTTAAAGTAGAGACTTTTAAATGCTTTTAAGACAAGTGATAATTAACCATCAAGCTGTGTGGACCCGTGGTCTCACACTCTTCACCACAGTCGAGGAGAAAACTATAAAACTTCTAGCTAGCAAAGCTACAGCCCGTTGGAGCTCACGAGCGCCTGGAAAACTATCAAAAGAACAGTAAAATGGAGCAAATACACCGCGTAGTTCAGCAAAGCTGCGCAAGAACAGAGCGCTGTTACCTCTTGTCCCTCCTTGTTCCCGCCAGACATCACGACGGAAATAAGTGTTTGTTGGAAACCCTTTCAAACTTCCTAAAAGTTGAAATGAAGACGAGGAAGGAACCCAGGATCCTACTGCGGAGAAACTCTCCACTTCACTCCGCTCCGCTTCGGCGAGATTCGTCGATACTCGGTAGCGACGTGCGTCACGTGACCCGGAAGCGAGGCGCACGTCGCGCTGATCTCAGGTCAGCCGAGAGACGACACGATCCAAGACACCAGCGAAGACCAAATGCCGCTCAACTCACGTGTTATACACCCAAGCTAGTTTCTGAAAATGCCTTTTTTCTTGTTAAACTTAGATCGGGTTAAACCGGTTTAATAAATGAACACCAGCGTGGGCGTGTAAAACTTAAAGAAAACTTTCAAAAAACCGATATAAATGGACAGTTTTGTAAAAGCATTCACAACAAAACTAGTAAATCCTGAAAAAAAGTATATTAAAATTGATCAAACACAACTCTGAAGCTGTTTCTACTGAAAACTCATGAAGGCATCATTCAGTCAATTTAGTTATAAACTCAGTTCTATTAATACTTTAGTAAATTTTGAATTTACCTCACATAGCCTGCTTCACATATACTTGTAGTTTAATATTATGTATGTTACAATTATCAAAATATGAGTATTGCAGCTTTTAAAATGACAATTTGGGTATCTTGGTCAACTTGCATCTCTCTTTTAAGCTCCATGTGGAAAACTTGGTAAAGAAACTGAAAGTTAAACTGGGTTTCTTTTTCAGAAACAGATCCTGTCTAACCCTGAACGCTAGGAAACACCTTGTATCTGTGACTTTCCTTCCCTCCATTGATTACGGTGACATTATTTACATGAACGCTCCTACAAGAACCCTGCAGATGTTGGATGCTGTCTATCATGGTGCGCTAAGATTCATAACTGGCTGTGATTATCGTACCCACCACTGCACCCTGTATTCACTGGTTAACTGGACATCATTAACTTCACGCAGACTCTCTCACTGGTATATTTTCATCTTTAAATCACTTCTTGGTCTGCTGCCTTCATACATCTCCTCCTACTTGTCTCTGTGTGAGTGCAGCTACAGCATGCACTCTCAGGACATTATTACCTGCAGTGTTCCCTCAGTGAGGACTGAACTAGGCAAAAGGGCCTTCTCCTACTCCACTTCTGTTTCCTGGAATATCTTACAAAAAGATTTGAAGCTCTCGACCTTGACCTCTTTAAGTGGCTTTAAAGGAATCTGTTGGACTCCTGGCAGGGACCAATGCAGACATGTTCCTGTTTTTAGTTTTCTACATTTGCCTTAGAATCTAGCTGTTTTTTGTTACTTTTCTTTTTTTTAGCCATCCTATTTGTTAAAAAAAAATCTGTATGCCTTTTTATAACTGTCTATTGTTGTTGCTGTTGTCCATTGTTGTCATCATTCATTGTTGAAATCAGGTCTCTCTTGTAAATGAGTCCTCAAGGCTCAATGGGATTTACCTGTCTAAATAAAGGTTGAATGAATGAAAAATGTATACAGGTTATTTGCAAGAGTGAATACCTGTTTGTGTTGTTGTAATGTTACATTTTCTGGGGTTAAATTTTTCATAAACATTTACCAAAACTAACGATATAATAGGGTTGTACACTATAGCATTGTTGAATATTAAGCATGTTTACAACATGTTTAAACTCTCATGTCATATTAAAGCAGTGTGTGCATGCATGGGAATGAAATATCTATAAATTTGAACAGAAGTATTTTTCCTTTCATCTTGCTTGTTAAAAAATTAACTCATAGAGAAAAAATGTAAAACTTTTGTGAATCAAATATTTAATAAGTACTAAACCTTTAGATATTTGCTATTCACTTAAAAATTGTGAGACTGTAAAGTCTGAGGCTCAAACAAATTCTCAATTCTTAATTCAGTATTTTTACCTCGTAGCGAATGTAATCTTTTCGTAAAGAAAGGAAATGTGCATTGATGCGTTCTTACTGGGATTTGAAAATTGAGATATATTTTTTAAACAGGTCTCTCTTGTAAATGAGTCCTCGAGGCTCAATGGGATTTACCTGTATAAATAAAGGTTGATTGATTGATTAAACGTCTGTAGTCATAACTTATGTAGTTCCAATTGTGAACAGCAGGGGGAGACAAACGCCCGCAAGTTGTTAGCGGCACCACGGTTTTACTTGTCTGCCCTCGTTTCGTCTGAAGTTGCCAAATAAGAATTAACGAAATATTGTACCGTCGCTTTAAAACGATTCGCACATTCCCGGCTAACAGCAGGTGTACTGTTGTGTGTTGTGCGGTTGAGGGTGGTAGAAGAATGAAAGATGAGGTGCTGTGATTGCACTGGAGAGAAGGGTGTTGGGTGCCTGGCCAGCACACGGTCTGACTGGTCGGATGACTCGGATCACTTATGTAAAAAAAGATCAAACAATGATGTGTGCGTTCACCTGACTAAAAACGAGGGAGGCTCGGTTCATGAAAAAGCCAAAACTATTAATTGGGATTTTTTTTAAAGTATTTATTGAATATCGTACATTTCTAAAACTATAGTATAAGCATGATAATTATTGTTCATCTGGCAACCCCGGAATAATCTGAACAAGTGGATAAATCATGAATCACCAGTGAGGGCCTTACATTGAAGCCTACTATAAGAAAAGATTTAACTGCTTAACTCCTCTGTCGGTCATGATTTATTTTCAAAAAGGAAAAAGAAACTGATTTAACACGTTAAATTGTTTGTTGTAACGTAGCAATACTAGTATCTTAATTCTGTGTCTTTTTTTGAGGACAATCGGCCACAACAACTAGCTTCGGTTGAACTTTTTACTGTTTAGTGTGGATGATGGCGAACAACGGAGTCCACCAGGCCGAAGAGGACCCAGCCGCAGCTTTCCTCGCCCAACAGGAGAGTGAGATAGCGGGGATTGAGAACGATGGCGAGGGGTTTGGAGCGCTGGAAGGAGCGGACAGTCCGGAGCTTTTTCACCCGCAAACGGTTAACTATGGTCAGTCTGGGGCTCGGCTAGCAGGCTAACGAGCTAGCAAGTACTCCGCTACACCCAACAAAATAGTTTAATTTAGCTTAAAATACTCCACTGATATACCTCAGTAAAAAATATAATTGTCTCATAACAGCTGGAGTATAAAAATAACAAGGTTACACAGGCGACTGAACTTTTTTTATTATTATAAACTTAATTTAACGTTAGCCTAGCTTAGCTGACGTTAGCATGTTTTGCTCACAGGCTAGTTGTCAAGAGATGTCAAACCATAAAGTATTTCGCTAACGCTGATAACATCTCGAAACAGAAGTATGCTACAGCTCGTACTCTACCAGTTTGATATCTAATTATGTAACCTGTGATGGTATGTGGCTTGGAGTAAAAGTACTTAGTATATATACGTTCAGTGTTTTAAGGTCTCATACTCACTCCTGCTTACGTTTCTGTGTCTAGATAGCACCCAGGTGTGCCTTTGGTAAGGTTTCTTGGAACAAAGTCTGAGTCAATATAAGTTAAACACCTTAAACATCTTTAAGTTAAAGCAGTTTAAGTCAAATGTGTCACAGAATCTGGTTTTACACTTGAAGAACCTGTCCTAATGCAGCAGACATTAGTGCCCAAACAGGTGCAGCTGCATTTCTGAGGTTCAAGTCTTTTCACGAAGTAAGTGAAGCCAACAGATGTGAAACCAGTCACGTTTCAGCAGACCGCAAGAAAGGCTGACTGGAAAGCTCTCAAAAGTCCAACTTTACACGTGTTTTTCCTCTCTTTATCCATAATGTTTGACGACTTTGAAGAAGACGAGTCTGCCACGGTGAACGGAGATTTGTTTGAGGTGAGATCAGTTCTGTCTCAGATTTAAAACTAGCGTTTGTATAAGTTTTAAAGTCCTAGCATTCTGATATGGGCTGTATTGTTGAAAACCAGAATGTAAGCTTGTGAAAGTCAAACTTCTGCTGATTAAAACAAAGTGAATGATTTCTGTTCTTTAAAAGGAGTCTAATGGGCCAACAGATGGCTACGCAGCCATCGCCCAGGTGGATATTCAGAGGCAAGAACCTGAAAGTTTACGCAAGTGGAGGGAGGAGCAGAAAACACGCCTTGAAGCATTAGGTAGAGTCACCTCTATTTGTAATGCACAACATGTGAATTCATTCGTTTATGTTAGCTGTTTTTAGGGCGATTCTTTACTTTGTGTTCTTGCACCCAATAACAAGACTCGGCTTCCAAGGCCGCAGAGGCAGAGTGGAGGGAGAAAGCCAAGAAGGAACTGGAGGACTGGCATGTGCACCAGAATGAGGCGATGGAGAAGAACAAGGCCAACAACAGGTGAGATGCTGACGTCTCATGCTGTCATGCAGAGAAGTTGTTTTTTTGTTTTTTAACCTTGAAGTGACATTTGCACACTTCTGTAGAAAACTTATAAACAATATCTTGTTGTAGATCGCTCTTTGAACATCTTTAGTTTGGAAACCTCTATTTTTGACCAGGTTGATGAGCTAACGGCTAGCCCGAACAAGTCCAAAAACAGTGGATTGTTTGTCTTCTTGCAGTGTGTAACAGTTTTTATTGAAACGTAATTTGAGGAACTGAGGAGTAAGAATGCTGAGAACTGTGGCACAATATTTTGTACACTTGCAGCACACGTCAACGTTATCTTACCCACATCTTCACCTTTTCATCCTTTTAGAGCATGGGAATGGCTGTTGGCACCTTCTACAGATGATCATCTTGTTCTATTGTTTTACAAAGTGCCAAACTTAGCTACAAGCCCTGGTTTTTAACCCACTCAATGTGGATGGAAAACCTTCTCAGTAAAAGTTGTAGCTGACTTTGTAATTCGGTTTGACTTTTTTGAGTCAGTTGGAAACTTGTTGCTCACTCGACGCTCTTCTCTTTCTAAAGGGGAGCTTTCTCCACGCTCCGGTTAAAAGCAGGTTCACAATTTGTGTATAGTGTGGCTGTCAACATAATTTTTCCCTTTTATTCTCAACAAAGTCAAAATGTTTCCAAACACTTGCGTTCTGTGCAGAAGGTTCTGTTTCATGTCTCGCTCAGCCTCGTGTCTGGTGAGCGCACCATAAACCGTCCAGGCGCTGCACTTTCTTGTTTTAGAGTTCTCCCTTTTGCATTACTCAACAAGGCATTCGAACAATGAATAATAATATATTTTTGACCTTTTTAGAATCAATTCAGAACCGTTTATGTCCATGTAGTGATGCATTGAAAATAGATTATGACCATTATTTACAGCAGTGGTAATTTACACACACAAATGGCTGCAGCAACACCTAGCTCTGACTAGCTCTTATCAGATTTTAAACTCTTATTTCTGTTAACTGAGGTCGCTAAGAGCCATCTACAACAGGTAAAATGATAATTATTCATAGCCTTTGCACCGAATGTTATCACATAAGTTTATTACTTATTTAAAGACCGTTTTTCTACTTTGTTGTTGTTTTACATTGTTTACAAATGTACCTTTTGTCCTTTCCTTGAGCTAACCTGCTCTTCTGTCACACTTTTCAACAGACTCTGTCCAAGTCTGGCACGGTATCCTTCTTCATCTGCAGCTTTAATGTGTTTGTTTTGTTTTTCAAAGCACTGAGAGGTAATCCTCTGATGATATGAGTTTAGGTTCAGATGCCCGAGGAAAAAGAAAACCGGAAGCTTGTGCGACAGAATCAGAACGGTTTTCATCCACACTGTCAGCACCAGCATGTTTAGGATTTGTCTGCAGAGCTCCGCTCAGTTCCTTTCAGGCCTCGCCCTCACTTCATCAGAGCATCCTCCTAAATGACTAACCCTGCACTGCCTGTTGTTTGATGCTGAAACTGTTCTCTCTTCTTTTTTCTGCTTTCTTACGTTGGAACTAGGACTGCTGACAAGGCTTTCTACAAACAGCCCAACTCTGATGTTATAGGCTTTGTGTACGTTTAGTTCTTGTGCTTTCATCCTTTGTATCCTCAGCCTTTCATCATTTAGCACTTATTTTAATGCATGCACCCCGACAACCTTTTAAGTTTGCTTTTGAAGAACTGATTCCTCCCAATTTTTGACTAAAGCAATTATAATGTGTTTCTAACAAGGCTTAAATTTATCCTACAAAATAAAAGCATGAGTTTACTTTATCTTGTGTACAGGAGCATTTTGCTGATCATCTTACAGTGCTGCTCTGAAGCCTCTTTAATACGGTAACTCGTGTTTTCTTACTCTTCCACCCACCTGCAGAGCGTCCGAGGAGGCCTTCCTGGCAGAGAGCGATGGCGACGGCACCGGGACTGGAACCGACTGGGAACGAGTAGCTCGCCTCTGTGACTTCAACCCAAAAACCAGCAAGCAGGCGAAGGATGTTTCTCGAATGCGCTCGGTCCTCATCTCTCTAAAACAGACGCCTCTAGTTCGCTAGACAGTGTGCTTTGAAGGAGTCTCCATTGCCTTTTTCAGTTTTAACACGTTGCATCAGATTCATGCCACTTGTTTCTGTGGAGTTCCTGGTATGTAGAACCTTAAAAAAAACTCTTCTTGCCTTTTATTGATGCCGATATTAAAATAATGTACTTAATCTGACGCTCCTGTGAGAAGATGGACTGGTTTCCTGTTACGTCCTTTAGCTGGTCATACTGAAGAAAATGTTACTGTAAGTTAAACGTTTTACTTTTTCATTTAACTAATTTTAAGTTAGCACTAATGTATGCCAACATTTTGAATTGCCAAGTTCATCTCTGTTTTATTTAGATCCAGCACTACCTGTAGATTGTGTCTGTGCCTCTGGGCGTTCACTTTCGCTGCACGATTTCACTAATTCACAAACTTCAGGTAGCAAACGTGTTTTTTTTATTTGTTTGTTTTTTCCATAAAGCTAAGCTTGTGGCCTTTCTGATTTGGCTTTTACTTCACTTTGAGTAGCGAGCCAGATGTTTTTTAACTCTTCAATTGGGCAAAATCAAAAACAAACTTGCAACCAAAGACTTCCATCATCAGAATTTGAAATCGGAATTTACATTTTTCACTTGTTTTTCCCGCAGCAACATGTTTGTGCACCTTTTTGTTACATCAACACATTTTAGAAAAGTTTTTAAACGGACTCCAGTGTCAGCGGTAACGTCCGCACATCGTTCACGTGTTGCCTTTGGACATGAAGACGAAAACACTGAATGTTATAAAGGAGCTGGAAAATTGAAATTGGTGAAGTTTGATCCCATCTAATTTATTCGTAATATTTCCTCTTGCTGAGCTTGTTGCCATTTAATAAAATTGCTGAAATTAATCATTTGAACAAAACGTGTAGTCGTTTTTTTTCACCCGATCATTCGTTTTGGCAGCCTGGTTTAATTAAAGTTCCTTTTTATTTACAAAGGTTCCTCATAATCAACGTTAAAGGCGTGCATTAAAGCTGCATCACATGAAGATGCAGCTTCAGTTTATACATGAAGATAACGAGAAATACGAGGAACTGAATCCACAAAGACCTGAACAGCTTTAAAAGGTTACTGCAGGGTTTATATGTGCCATTTGTTGTTCGATAGCCTGAAGCAAAACGTTTGTACCACCATGAGCAGTTCAAGCTTTCAAACAAAAATGTATTTAAATTATATTGGATACAAAACACAGAGTCCAGTTCTTTAGTTCTTCAGTGGATCTGGTCTGTTTCTGGATGAATTGCAGAGACCGATCAGTCTTCACTGCTTGGCCTTGAAGGCTGAAACAAAAACGCCAGCAAGGACGGCGACTACAGTAAAGCCTTGAGCTAAAATACGGCCCCGCATCAACAGCTGGGATTGTCTGGTTTTTCCTTGATGGAAGGCCCGGAGCCCATACAGCAGCATCCCTGCTGTTCCCAAACAACCTGGGGGGGACAAAACGGACAAATCATTAGATAAATGTGCTGAGCAGCAGACGCATCATTCAGAAAGGGAAGGTGGGGCCCTAATTAAAGTCGAGTACAACAAAAACATCTGTAACATGAAAAATGGACCATGGATGGAATCACAAAAGTATATATAAATTGTGACGTTGGAACCTGAAAGGAATATGTATTCTATATCTTTCAACTCCAGGTTTTTCAGGATAAAATTTTGTACAAGTACTAAAATTATTCCGCTTCAACCTCGGGTGTCCAACAAATCCACCATGCCCAAATGAAAATGTTCAAGTAAAACAGAGTCCACTCTTGCTGGTTCCTTTGTTGCTGCAGAGGAAGAATCAGCCAAGTGACACAAGATCATCAGTGATCTATGAAATGAGTTTTTGCTGCTCTGGAGCATTCAGATGAATCAACATGACACTAAGGAGGGAAGACCATTTTAAATCCATTGATTTACATCAAAGGATTTTGTTGATGCATAAACCTAATTAGTATGCTGTTTATTCCCTTGCTATATTGTTTTGTAACATTTCTTGGCATTTACTATATTAATGCATGATAGTTCTCCCTTCTGTGGATCAATAGTGTTTTTAATGATTTTGTTTTATCATTAATAGACATGAGGTAATGACTAGAACCTGGGAAAGACCAATATATATATATATATATATACACACTTTTTTACTAGTCCTGATTATAAGTAAAAAGATGGTCGACTTTTCTTTCCCCTGCACTATATATACACATGTATTTATTAAAAGGGGCAACTTTAATTTAATTTTAAAATACTAGATTCACCATCATGTTTTTAAATCTGCTCTGAAGACTCATTTTTTTCTCATTGGCTTTTAACGCAGCTTGAAATGTTGCCTTTACTGTTTAATGTTATTTGTTTTATTGCTGTTACTGTTTGCCGTTTTATGATTTGGTAGTTCATTACTTTTTTGGTATTAGTTGAGTTCATAGTTTTTATGCTTGTGTGTGTTAGTGTACAGCACTTTGGCCAACGGTGTTGTTTTAAAGTGCTTTATAAATAAAGTTGTATTGTATCAAGCTTGTTATGGAGTTCCACACAAAGGCAAAAAAAAGTGCACAATCATGCTTAATGGCACCTTGAAAAATCAATTTTATTCCTTCCAACAAGCAATAAAAACATTGTTCAACTTTCCGATCGCAAACATTAGAAACTACTTGTCATTTGGTTAATTTAATCAAACCTCGTGTTGCTTCAAAGATAACGGAGGCCATTTAAAGGTCATATATGGAAGTAAACACTTGGAAAAAGGGACCCCCTCCCCACACAAAAAAAAAAAACGTAAGCTTCTTCGACCAGCTACTTCGATATTAAACCCTGACTTTAGTGTCATTGAAATAAATAAATTAGCATGTGAGGACAACACTGCTCCGCTCTGCTGCAGCTTCCGGTTTGTAGAACTCACCTATCGGGACGAACGGGTTCTCCTTGGTTTTCCGAATGAATTTTTCCTTAACGCCCTCATCTTTGAAATTCGGAGTTGGCCTGAAGCCCTCGATGTTCGGGGGCTGAGAAATATCGAAAGGAACTGCTTCTGGCAGCGGATGTTTAGGTTGTTCAGGGACTCCTGTTGTCGCGGCAGCCATGTTGGACTTCAGGACGAAACTGGAGCGCACTTCCGGTTGGAGTTTTCAAAATAAAAGTTTGATTAGATACCATAAACAAGCACGTCCTCGTATCCTCTGCTGCATGCTGCAACAACTTCTGTTCAGCTGTAATCATAAAAATAAGTAGTCTTAAAATAATATTTTTGCTCATTATATATATATATATATATATATATATATATATATATATATATATATATATATATACACACACACTATATATTTAATTGTATGTTGTCTAAAACGTCTCTTGAAAATGAATCCTGACTCGATGAGAACAACCTGTAAAAATAAAGGTTGAATTAATTTCTAAAACAATTTTAAGAAGCCACATGTTAAGAATGTATTGCTTGCTGTATTGCTTGTATTATATAAATCTAAATTTTTAGTGTTAACTGAATTAGTATGTGAACATCAAAATTAAGAAGTGTGTGAGGGGCACCATGGCTGGAGTACTCTTCGGGTCATATAAAATACCAACACTTTTAAACAGAAAAAAATACAATGACGATTACCAATAGTTGCACACTAGTTTCAAGGCCTGGTTTACTACTCTAGTAAGCCCTTTGGAAAGCTTGACGTAGCAAAATAAGTAGACTGTTTTCAAATATTTTAAAAGTTGGATACATGTAGTTTTTCAATTCATAGATAAGTAAGACATCCTTTGTAAAATGTGACAATGTTGCATGCTCAGACAAAAAAACATGTCAAGAGAATAAATTCAATAGGGAGAACACATATTTTTCAATCTTTTTATTGAATATTAAGGTAAATATTTCACATTAATACAGGCTACATAAAGTAGAGCCACTATACGACATGAAATTTACTCTCATTAACCCTTTTTAGTATGTAAACAATTATACATGTATTTACCACTCTAAAAGGTTCTGATTTCTCTTTAGATAATCATCATCATCTTTCTCTAGTTCTGGGCCAAGTTTAAATAGCTACTTCATGTTGAGCTCCCTGCGGCCCAAGAACGGTGTATGTGGGTTTAAGTCAAAAATCGCTAAACTACGCAGAGAACAGATCTTGTTGAACAAGTGAACGCGCATGTTTGTTTGCATCATCAGGACACAGAAATCAGCTCTAGCTCCCCTCCTTTACTTGAAATAGGCACATCAAAAAAATGGCGTCAAGGGAACTTCCAATTCTTTAACCTCTGCTCTCCACCTTCAGGTCTCTAAAGTTATCTTGTTCTTTGTCTTATTTGTCTCATTAGGTCATATTCTTTAGTTGGTATTACATGTTTGAACTGTGGATCATGCTGTGTCTGTATGTAGTTGCTGTGGACGCCATCTAGTTGACGTGGTTCAGATGCACATTACCCACATGAGGTGCCCAGGTACCAGGCCAAACCTGAAAAAAGAAAGCAGTTTATAAATGAGCATTAGACCTACTCTACAATGTTTTATCCTTTTAAAGGCTACAGTCTAATCATGTTTAAATAAACAAAAACATCTAACCTGCTGTTGTGGGTCAGAGCTATCTGCATTGTTTGGGACCACTTTGATGATTGAGCTCCATGCGGGGTCACCTGCGTGCAAACCATTGTACATCGGACCCCCTGGGCCTTCCGCCATGGGAGGGTGAGGGGTCAGCATGGTTCCTCCATACATTGACATAGGCATCCCCTATAGACAGAAAACAGGTGGTTGGAACAACACTCATAAAATAAACAGGGTAAAACGACAAAGGTGCTGTGCTCCGTTACCTTCTGGAAGTCCATGTAATTGTTGGGCAAATGCTGAGCCTGGTGGTAGCTGTTAGCAGGGTTTGCAATGCCGGTGTCATCCTGCTCCATAGGCTGGTGCTGAGAGAAGGCCGACTGCTCCACCTGCAGCTGTGGGTGCATCATGTGGCTGCTCATCAGGGGCTGCGACCAACCAGACATGGCCTCTGCACCAAAACACAAACATTTATATTAACTGCTTTGCTGTTTAATAGCAGTTACGGTGGTTGGTTTGATAGCCCGCTTTAAAAAAATAATTCACCTTCACCCGAGGCACTCCCAACCCCAAATGACCAAATGCCACCCTGTCCAACAGGCGCCGTGTAGCTGGTTGTGAGTAGAGGAGGGTTGACTGAACCCGTCTGTCTGATTCTGGCCAACCTCTCTGTGCCAATAGGACGGGGAACCTTCCGGTCCTGCTGCGAGGAACTGCCTGGTTTTGCTTGGGGTGGAGGGACCACAGCTGAAGTGGATAAGGCAGAGGAGGATACTGTAGGGGGTGGAGGGACAGGGGTTTCACCTGGTTAAAAAATAAAAAAATATTAATCAGAAGAAATTATTTTGTTCTGCGTCAGATCCTGCTTAAAATGAGAATACGCTTCCAAAACGTACACAAAAACAAACACTCAAAATATTCAATAGAATTTCTTTGATGTCAACACTCGGCACCAGACATTGTCCTGTTTCTGGTTCCAGTGAATACCGCAGTATTAAAAGGTCACGTTGTGTGTAAAACCACTACATATGTTTCGTCATACTGCTCCTACGATTTAAACACATAAAAACAAGATGGGACGAGATTTATTATAAAAATTAAAAAATAAACTTCAGTTGGATGTACATTTTATCCAGTGGATAACTCAAGTCTGTCATAGCTTGTCTACTAAAGTTAACATGAAAATAAACCAACAAAATAAATATATTATGACTGTACTAATATTATGATGGAGCTTTAGGGCCACGCTAAGAAAAAGAAATTAAAAGCCATAAAATTACGAGAATAACGTCGTACAAGATTTTTTTTTTCCCCCAGCTCTTGTTCATTTATTTATTTTTCCACGTCAGATCCACAATGACCTGCCAATCAATCCAGTAGGCGTGTCATGAAATGACCAATCCGAAGCTAAATGCTCCTTACCTGCAGAGAGCTGGAACATACCACCTTACTGTCAGCAGGTTCAAAATCCTGGTACTGATAATAATCTGATGCTGATGTGCTGACAGATTATACAGTTTCTTTCACTGAGCGGCGTTATCAAACCGGAACAAAAACGAAACTCATGACGTCACCTTTATGCATCCCAGAAGCAGCATCCAAAAACACAGCAGCAGGTGGCAGCATTGGAATACGTTTCGAGTAAGTGCGTTAATAACAATAAAGTTTAACAAACATTTTTCATTCTCCTCAGTTAAAATGCGGTAAACCCTGCATTATTGTGTCGGAGTTCAGATAATATTACAACACAGTTAACTTCGGATTAATCATTTGCTGACACGCCTACTGGATTGATTGACAGGTCGCATCACGGATCCGACTCTTGGAAAAAAAAATTAACGACGACTGTTGGAAAAAAAGTATTCTTTATTCTCGTAATATTAAAACTTTATTTGACTTTATTCTCATAATTTTATGGCTTTTAACTTTTTTTCTTAGCATGACAATGTTTTTTTTTTTTTAGCGTGGCCCTAAAGCTCCATCGTACTAATATAGCTTTAATATAATCATTTTTAAACATTATATGATTATTTGGGCAGCAGGAGTAAAAGTATTTGCGTTTTTGTTTTTTTAAAGAAAAACAATGTTTAAAAAAAAAATCAATTCAACATGACTTCGCAATAATGGTATTTCTGCTGAAGCAAGCTGTCTCCTACCAGACAACGTTTATTTAAAACATAAAATCAACTTTGGGGAGTTTGTGTTGCACCTGACGTGGATGCGCTCCATGGGTGAGGGGAAAAGTGCTGTCTGCTGAACGATGGTGCGCCAACCCCTGCGTGACTGTGTAGATAAACAGGATTGCCAGGGATACTGGGAGCAAAGCTGGTCAAAGCTGGGGAAATACAAAATAAAAGCTCAGTATGAAGTTAAACTGCCAAAATTAGTTTCTTTAGACAAGAAAATTATTAATTGTACACAGTCAAAATAAAATAAAGTCATACCAATGGGGCTGTTGACAATCCTCTGAGAGGTAGAACGGTAGCCGGGGGCTTTGGAGCTGTCTGGAGGAGGTGGGGGCATCATATTCTCCATCTGTCCCATGTTCATATAGGCTGGCGGGGCCGAGTATGATTGATCTGGAGGAGATCGTGCAGGCAGATGGCATGCGCCCCACACCTGGTTGTTTCCCACCTGTCAGTCAAGCACAAATTGTAACTGGTGAGTTTTGTCATAAAACATAAATACTAGGAGTTAACGGAGTCTCATGCTGAAATTGAGTATCTCTATTAAACTAACCTGGCTGTTGTTGTCAAAGATGCTGCTGAAATTGAAGAGACCCGCGTGACCAAAGTTGGGGGGGATTTGTTGAGGCTTGCCTGCTGTGGCAACATGTTGCATCTGGGAGCCATTCATGATCCCCAGATTAGCTGAGGCCTGATGGGAGCCTGGCGCTGGGGCCTGAGCTTGGGTTGTTGGGGGCAGATTTGCTGGCTGGGACATCTGGTTTTGGGTCTGCTTTAAGGGTTCCTGCTGAGCGCTGAAGGGTACAAACACAGACTGCTGTTGCTGCTGATCTGCGAGGGAAAAGTAAGGCCCTGGTGGCTGCATACGATGGGAGACTCTGGGTGCAGGGGCTGAGAAGTGGGGGACCGTGTTGCTGGGGTGTGAAACATTGTGTGAAAGAGCAGGTGAAAGTACTGAGGGAAGGTGGGAGCTGGGCTGTGGGTCCTGAAGGGGTGAATGAGATTCTGTCGATGGTGCCGAAGAGGGAGGCGGAAGTAACTGCTGTCGAGACTCTGGCTTGGTAGCTGAAGCCAAAGAGCTGATGTTCTCACTGACGGATGTGGGCTGGTTCTCTGCAGGTACAGACAGCTTGTCTTTCACAGGAGGGGCGGTACTGGGCTCTGTTTTAGTTGGCTGAATGGGAGGCTGAGCAGCAGGTCCAACCGGCTGCTGGGGAGCACTGGTTGTAGTTGTTGTGGAACTAGGATGTGCAGACGAACCTGTGCCTCTTACAGCATTACTGCCACTGGTGGCAGAAGCATTAGACACGGCGCAGACGCCTGTTGGCTTGGCATCAAGAGGAAAGAGCTGTTTCCTGACTGAAGATGGGGTGCTGCTTGGTTGAGGATTATATGGAGTGGGATTAGGGGTTTGAGGAGAGGCTGCAGCTGCAGATGTGTTAGGCGCACTCGTTGTCATGGTGTTGGTAGTTGTGACTAGAGTTCCTGAGCTGGCTGTGCCGCTGTGCTCATGGGTTGAGTTGGGCCTTGACTGGGCCCCCGTGTTAGTGGTTCCTCCATTGTGTTTGGGGGAGCTGTTGGCACTGCCAGGACTCACTGGACGCACAGGGAAGGGTCCCCAGGTGCTCGCAGCCGGTGGGAAGGTGCCGCCAAACTGTGCCATGGGTAGACGAGGGTGTCTGATCTGATGCATGGTCTGAGCAGCCAATAAAGCCAGCTGAGGATGAGCGTACGCCAGGGGCAGCGACACTGGGAAAGGTTGCCTGACGTTGGACGACAACCCTTTCCCAATCTTGGCCCCAGCTTGAGAGGAGGATGAAGATGCAGATGAAGAGGGTTGGAACGAAACGCCGCTGGAGGTGACCAATGAGCTAAGAGCCTTTGAGCCGGTGGCTGAACCACTAGCCGACGCTGCTGTACTGGAGAAGGAAGCTGACGTTTTAGAACCCGGAGCTCTGATGTGATTGCGGGGAATCAAATCTTCAAGCTCTTTGGCTGGATCCTGGATTAGAGCGTTGATCAACTGGACTGCATACCTTGTAGACTCTGTGCCTCCTCTGAAACAAAACATAATTTACATGAAAACAGGTTATTGTAGGAAAAGTAAAGCTGGGGGGAAAGGGAAATAATTCCATCAAACGATTGAATTATAAGGCAGCATGGTTAAATGCAGCTGTGCTTACACAGACCACAAACAAGGAAAGTTAAATCAAAATCATTTTTACAGAGTTACTGAAGTCTGGTTTTCTATGCATCGCTATATTCTGTGCATTCAGCTTCTTATTGCGACTCTGGTGTTTTGATAAACATTTTGAGCACTAGCTACAGAAAATAAGCTTGTTTGCAGTTTTAATTCCAATAGCTTTTGCTACCTACACACACACACACACACACACACACACAGACAAGACGGGAAAATAAGTATTTGATACACTGCCGACTTTGCAAGTTGCCCCACCTACAAAGAATGGAGAGGTCTGTCATTTTTATTGTAGCTACACTTCAACTGAGAGACAGAATTTAAGAAAAAAAAAATCCAGAAATGCACACTAAGATTTTTAGATCATCAATTTGCATTTTATTGCATGAAATAAATATTTAATACCACAGAAAAACTGAACTTAATATCTGGTACAGAAACCTTGTTTCCAGTTAAAGAGGTCAGACGTTTCCTGTACGTCTCAACCAAGTTTGGACTGTAGCTGTGATCTTGGTCCACTCCTCAACATACAGATCTTCTCTAGATCTTTCAGGTTTCAGGACTGTCGCTGGGCAACATTGAGTTTCAGCTCCTTCCAAAGATTTTCTATTGCGTTCAGGTCTGGAGACTGGCTAGGCCACTCCAGGACCTTGAAGTAGTTCTTACAGAACCACTCCTTAAGATGCCCTAGCTGTGTGTTTTGGGTCATTGTCATGCTGGAAGACCCAGCCATGTCCCATCTTCAATGTCTTACTGAGGGAAGGAGGTTGCTGGCCATAATCTCTTGATGCATGACCCCATCCATTATGATGCTGTTGTCCTGTCCCCTTTGCAGAAAAGCCTCCTGTGTAGTTCTGGGCTGATTCCTGGTTTCTTCCTCAGAATCACCCTTACCCCCACAAGGTGAGATCTTGCATGGAGACCCAGACCGAGGAAGATTGACAGTCATCTTGTGTTTCTTCCATTTTCTAATAACTGCACCAACAGTTGTTGCCTTCTCACAGAGCTTCTTGCCTTTTGTCCTGCAGCCCATCCCAGCCTTGTGCAGGTCTACATTTTTGTCCCTGGTGTCCTTAGACAGCACTTTGGTCTTGGCCATGGTGGAGAGGTTGGATTGTGATTGATTTGAGTGTGTGGACAGAAGTCTTTTATGCAGGTAACCAGTTCAAAGGGGTGCAATTAATACAGGTAATGAGCGCATAATAGGAAGGCTTCTCACAGTCGAAGTTCACCTACAGTAAAAATTACAGACCTCTCCATTCTTTGAAGGTGGGAAAACTTGCAAAATCGGCAGTTTATCAAATACTTATTTTCTCCACTGTATACACACACACACACACGCACACACACACATGCACGCACAAGTACCTCAAAAAACTAGAATATTGTAAAAAAGTTAACTTTTTTGTCCATCATTTCAGAAAAGTGGAACTCAAATAGATGTATTACACTTAAGAGTGAAATATTTCAAGCCTTTGTTTCTTGTAATTTTGATGATTATGGTTTACAAATAATGAAAAACTAAAATTCAGTGTCTCAGAAAATTAGAATATTGTAAACTCCTGGAGTCAGACCCTGATCAGCTGATTAAATCCTAGACATGAGCTACAAATGTCTCCTTCCTCAAGTCCAGCCACTCCTGAACCAGAAACAACATCAGAAGTGTCTTACCTGCTGAGGAGACAAAGGACTGGACTGTTGCTCAGTGGTCCAATGTCCTCTTTTCAGATAAATGTTGATGTCATTTAGAAATCAAGGTCCCAGAGTCTGGAGGAAGAATGGAGAGGCCCAGAATCCATGTTGCTTCAAGTCCAGTGTGAAGTTTCCACAGTCAGTGATGGTTTGGGGCCATGTTCTCTGCTGGTGTTGGTCCACTGTGGTTTCAGGGTCAGGTGTGGCTAAGTGGTTAGAGCAGTTGTTCTCCAATGGGAGAGTTGGGGGTTCGAATCTATCAGCAGTCACATGTTGAAGTGTCCCTGGGTAAGACACTGAACTCATGTGTGTCCCATCGGTGTATAAATGTGATCTAAAGCTCTGATTAGTCTCTACAGATTCAGATTGTCTTTGTAGAGATCCGGTAGAGTGCTGTATGAATGTGTGTGTGGAGGTAAATGAGGGCAGATTTTGTTGTAAAGCGCTTTGAGTATCTTGATTAGATAGAAAGGGCACTATAGAAGTACAGTCCATTTACCATTTTCTGAAGTCCAGTCAACGCAGCATCTACCAGGACATTTTAGAACACTTCACACTTCCTTCTGCTGATGAGCTTTAAGAAGATGCTGATTTTGTTTTCCAGCAGGAAAATAAAATCAGCTCCTGCCCACTCTGCCAAAGTTATCAAAAGTTGGCTGTAGAATATTCTAATTTTCTGAGACAGTAAATTTTGTTTTTTCATTATTTGTAAGCCATAATCATCAAAATTACAAGAAATAAACGCTTGAAATATTTCACTCTTTGTGTAATGAATCTATAACATGAATTGCACGTCCTGTAATGATTCACAAGAAAACTGAACTTTTTCACAATATTCTAGTTTTGAGATGGACATGCATGTACACTATTGGATGCAGTAGCATCTATGATCCACGAGGGGGAGACTAACTTGTTTTATTTTTTTTTACCTGATGGTGATCATTCTCTCCCCGTTCTTGTCCTTCTGTTTGTCCACGTCAATGTGTGCTCCTGTCACGTCTTGGATGGCTGTGATGTTGCAGCCACCTCGACCCATAATCCGAGACACAACAGAGGCCGGTACAGAGAGCTTCTTGGATCTGCAAAAAAATACAGCAAAATGATGGAAGTCAAACATGTTGTGTGCTAGCTCAGGTTCCAAGTCATAAATTACTGATATATTATATATATATATATCAGTATATAATATATATATATATATATATCAGTATATAATCCAGTATGTTTTTA